TCTAGGTCCCGTGTACGAGCGCCTCAAAGTTTTGGTGGGAAAATCGCAAACTCGGGAACCAGAAAAATTAGAAAGCTGAAATTTTGGGATTATGTTCCTCGAGAACTCAAAGAGTTTAAATTCAGCCCCCAGGCGTGCGTAGTTTCCGCGTACGGCCCCGTGAAGGTTCCTGGCGCGAAAATCGCTGGCTCAGGAACCAAGAAAGCTGAGAGGTTAAAACTTTCAGGAAATGTTCCCGGCTCATCTACAACTTAAATTTATCAAGTTCAGCTCTCAGTTTTGCATGGTTGTCACGTGCGGCCACGTAAAAGTTTTTGGCGGGAAAATGGCTAACTCCGGAACCAGGGAAGCTGGGAGGCTGACACTTTCAGGAAATGTCCCCAGCTCATTTACAACTTGAATTTATCAAATTCAGCCCCCGATATGCGTGGTTACCATGCGTGGTCCCGTGAAATTTTCTGGCTGGAATTTGGCTAACTCGGGAACTGAGAAAGCTGGGGACCTGGAATTTCAAGGGAATGTTCCCTGTCCAAGTACAGCGCGGATAACTAACTTCCCGAAATTCGAGGGCCAGTATGTACAAAAGGTTTCTAGCTAGCGAAGTTTAAGTGATCTTACTGCAGCACGAAACACTGCAAAAACGCATGATCGCACGGCCCGCCCAGTGCGCGTTCGCCAATGATTTTTCATGAGTAACATCCACTGATAGGCAACTTTCATTCTCCAGCTCTGCCCATCCGATTTTACTTCCTTGTGGTATCATAATGTTATCTTGTAAATAGCTCATCACTCACAGTACTTGACTGTTTATATCGTTGCAGAAGAGGCACTCCAAGCATGATCCCTCAACTTTTTTTTTTGTACCAGCCAGTGATTGCTTTTCTGCTTTTATCAATGATCAAGTTTCGCATTTGCAGATTACTGTCATCGACAGATTGTTCATACTCAGTACTTTCAGAACATCCGCAGTGCTGAGGAATTCGCTCGAGCTTGCAGCTCTTCAGCGTGTAACCTTCTAGAGATTATGGCGCATATTTACTTTCTGACCGCGACAGACGTAAATGTCAAATCCTTTCAAATCAAAATCGTCCATGCGATTTCGTAGTTGATTCAGGGCAAGCACCACTACTGTACTGAAGTGGTGATTTCGAACACCAGACAAGCTG